CAAAGGAAGAACACCTGAATCACGACGGGAAGTTCACGCCTCCGAACCCGGGTTCCTCGAAACGAGACCCAGGTCACGGCCCTCACTCGATATTCATCCTAGCCGTTTGATTGGTTTCCCCATACCGACGAACATACAAAACGAGCACATCCCTAATACAAACTCTTAGCAAAATATTTAACATCCTAAACTGGCTAATTTATGGGCAGCCATGCAAATAACACAAGTTAAGCATTCAAAGAAAAACGACCAATGGACGGTATATAAATAAAACGACCACTTAGGCTGATATTGTACGAATATTACATAAACGGGTAACAACCCGAGAAAACAAATATAAAAAAATTGGCGTGCAGGCCGAAACAAACACAATCATCCTTCCATTCCCCCTTCAACAATAGGCGACAGTTGGGCAGGTCCCCCGGTCAGTTGAGCAATGATGTCCCTCAGGTAATCGGGAACCAGAATCTGGACATCAACCACGTAGTAATTGATCCCCATGGCCGAAATGTTGTGCTCGACGCCAGGGTTCAACATACGCATCTGATTCACTGCATTCTCGAAGCTCCTCTCAGAAGCCGCCTGAGCATCATCCACAGCCAGCTGAAAACGAGCAACTAACTCGGCCCGAGTCTTCAGATCTTTAGTATCCTCTGGCTCGTCCTCAACAGGCGCAATATCAGCAGTTAAGGCTGCTACCTTTCCCTCAAGGCCCTCTCTCTCAAGTAAAAGGACCCTGCGCTCCTCAGAGAGCTTCCCCGACTCTGCCTCGGACAACTTTAGGGATTTATCCTTTTCAACCAAGGCTTTCTCGATCGCCGCCAGCTTGGCCCAGAGATTCTTCATCTTTGCCTCCTGGGATGGGCTTCCCTCGCTGTACGCAACGGCCATCTCTAAGATCCGCATCAAACCTCCCGCATCTTGAGCCAGCGTCGCCCTAATCTTAGGATGGCTCATTCCCTCGAGGAGGAAAGATTCGGCCCGGGGGAGACAAAGAGTTGCACCCTCGAAGAAAGACCTCTCTATCCAGAATGGAGGTAGGTCATAAGTCCTTTTCCCTGTTTCCCCAGTAAGGTCGACACTCCCATCAGCTTGTGGCCTCTTCGCCTTTGAAGAAACGACAACATGAGACAGGGCGACTGTGGGCTGGGCTGAGGACGATCCGCTCGACCCCGAGGCAGGAGTTGGCCCCGCGCCAGCCTGTGTATCCTTCATAGCCCTCCTCGCTTGAGCAACAAGTGTCTTGGCCAAACGCTCTTGAGCGGGATTCACACTTTCTGCAAAACAAACAAAAAAAGAGAATAGTCAGTAAAACGCAAAATCAAACAAACAAGGATCACTTACTACTATTAAAAATATATACCCAGATATCTAACGGGATCCTCGCTTTCGAGGAGCTCCCTGACATTTATAAGACCCGACTCATGCACGGGCTCCCTATTCCTATCCAGCACTGGCCTACCCCCCCCCCCCCCCCCCCCCCCCCCGACCAACTCGCTGGACCGGAGGGCTTTGAGCTACAAACGATGTATGGGTGGCGAAGCTCTCTAGATCCTCATCCCCAAGCTCCCCTCTCTCTAAATGTAGGAACCCAATTCTCACTCGAAATGCTTGATGGTCCATTGCAACGAGAACTTACAAATCAGTGTCACAGTAGGCTCCCCCAGCTCGTTTATGCGAGGAGCCCCATCCTCATTGAGCGATGGCACGGTCCTAAAAACGCTCAACATTACCTTCGCTGAAAAGGGTTGTACCAAGATATATTTATCCTTAAAATGGAGGACGGATTCTAGATAGGCCTTGAATAACTTCCCGTTACCTTGTTTGAGGGAGACCCATCCCTACTTTTCGTAGGTCATACTCCTCTGGATGTGAAAACAGTAGAAAAATAATGGGATCGTGGCCCTTATCTTCAGATAGTCACACACTATCTGGAACGCCCACACGAACGCAATACCGTTCAGATGCAACTAAGAAGGAGCCATACACAGATGCCAAAAAATGGATACCTCGAAGTCGGAGAAGGGAAGGCGGAGACCCATCTCTCGGAAGACAATATTATACATCGGGATCCGCCTTCTATCATACCTCGAGCAGATCATGTTGTCCTTCCCAGGATATACAATGACCACTCTTCCGGGGCCCCCTCCTCGTGGGTGTACACGTCAGTAAAAACATCCTCCCCGTGCTCGCAGAAATACGACCACCACTCCCAGGGGTCTTTCGCGACCCAATCCTGAGGGTCCTCATCATCCCGAGGAGGAAACAAGCTGCCCTGAACCGCAAAGGTCGCCCCCATGTCAAACTCCCCCGTCAGTTGTCCTGTCTGGTTCTGCATTTCCTCGGAGACTTCCAAAATGCTCGACGAACTACTGGTCTCGCTCGAAGAACTCCCATAAGACTTTGTAGACTCGCTCAAAATAACGACATGAGCATCATCAGCTATGGCACCTGAAAAATAGAGGAAATGATGAGCTCGACATCAATGCCAGAACCACCCTTCCACCGCAAAACAAGCGAAAGGGCGCTGGGAAATGAGGATCATATCCCCGACTAGAACCCTCACTGAGATACACTAACGGGCATAAATTACGGGGAAAACCCTAAACCCTCACTAGGGCACTCTAACGGGTGCGGATTGCAGAAAAAAATCCTAAGCCCTAAATGAGCCCCGTACGGCACAACACCAAATCCCCGAGGAGATCCTACAACGGCTCTGAGGGTCATACACCACGGGAATAACATCCACCACCGTGAGTTTCTAACAATCTTCTCCCTAACGGAACCCTAAATCCTAACCACGTGCATCTCTAGAAAGTAAGAAGCGAAAATGCGAAAGAGAACAACAATGGCAGATCGAAAACTTACCAATAGAAGAAGAAGAGATGAAACTGGATGAAAACGAGCAAAGAAACTAAGCAAACATCAGTGGTCGACTGTCGAGCTAATGCGAGCAGATGAAAGAGAAGGTGAAAAATACTAAACGCCATGTTCCTCTCGTATTTATAGCCGAGATAGCCCGCGTGTACAAAACACGCGTCTGGGGAATCCTAGGGTCGTCATCATGACACCCTAGCCCTAGGTCACCATTGCGCCGCTTCATCGACATGCTTCCCAAAACACGCTACCTCTTCAAATTCAAAAGTTCTAACGGACAAATGCCTCACCTTCCCGATAGACTCGCCTGTAAGACACGCCCCGTTATTCGAGCAGATGTCAAAGTCATCACTCCTGTGCCCAGAAGCAACGACTTAGGGGGCTACTATTCTGGATTGGCCCGACAGTTTGACTAAGCCCGGCCCAAAATATCTCCTTGGGTACGGTCCGCACGACCATGACCCAAATCGCCCGCACGACCATCTTCTGTCGGGCAACGACAACCGTTTGCCCTTCAGCTTCGCCACTGGCCCATGATGATCGACGAGCATCCTCTCTGTCTGCCCGACTCCAACATCGTGCAGACCACCAGAAACCGACCAGAGAGATGCCCATAATTAGTCCCTTCCTCAGAGTCAACGGCTAGTTACAGGCACATCCGCCCGATTTGACCAAGTCCTAGCAGTTACCTGATTTTCCGGACCCACATATCTAGGCAGAAAATCAGGAACTAATGGCCACGCGCCAGGGACATTATATAAATCCTCACACCTGTAAGGGTCAGGTATCACATATTCACTACTCACTACCTGATATTTCTGCTTGTACCTCTCTGTTCCCGCTCTTACTTGATCATTAGAGTGCCTTGCAGGTACAACACCCTTTTCTCTCCAGCTTACAGCCCGACTGCAGATCATCCTCCGGCCGCTCACCAGGATCTGATCAACCGGCAAGATCAGGTTGCTTGGAGTTCGAGAAAGGAACCAGTAGTAGTATAATCATGTGAAGTAGAGTATATAGCTGCTTCTCTTTGTGCATGTCAAGCAACATGGATGGTGAACTTGATCGAAGAGATTACAGGTAATAATCATGGAGCAATCACCATGAAGATCGACAACATGTTAGCTATCAATCTGGCGAAAAACCCGATAGCGCATGGTCGAAGCAAGCACATCGAAATGAGGTTCCACTATCTTTAAGAGCAGGTAGCAGACGGGAAGATGAACTTAAAACACTGCAAAACTGAGAATCAGATTTCAGACATCATGACAAAGGGAGTGCAAGTCAAAATATCTAAAAGACTAAAAGCTATGATGAATATAGATAGCTTAGACACAATGAATTAGGTGGTGTGTTGAAAGTAATTCCTTGTGTCGAAGCAGTTTGCTCGACAGAGACAAGGAAGTGTTGAAACATGGTGTGTCGAAGATGTTACACACAGATTTGATTTTAGATTTAGATAGATTTGATTTAGATCTAAAGTAGATATATTTTATTTAGTTCTAAAATAGATATTTTGAGCTTTTATAATTTTGGATTTTGTCTTAGGGAGCAAACTAACCTAAATCTATAAATAGAGGGAGTAACCCATATTTTTGGTAATCAAGTCAACTCATTGTATTCACAGAATTTGCAATTGCTAGTGAATAATAAAGTTTTTCACAGTTTGTAGACAGAGAGAAACTCCACAGAAAAATATTTTCTTTCTTTTTTCATTTTTTATTTTTCATTGTCATTGTATGATGATATCAATCTTGTTCATAAGATTGGTAGAAATTCATCATAAGTTTTGGCATTATACAAAGATTACCACTTTTAATTTCTTAATTTAAAATATTCTTTCAAAACTTTTAAAATATATTATTTAAAGAGATTTTGTATCAAACAAAAAATTGCCATTCAACCTACTTCTATATCTAAATTATATTTAAAGAAAAAGTCAAAACAAAACAAACAAAAAAAAGAAAAAAAAAAGAGGTTTTTAGAGCCCAAAATTAATGAATTACAATCTGTAGTGTATCTATATAGCAGAAGATAAGAATCACAACATAACATAGAAAGTATACATCAATGTCAGAGGCTAAGAATAGCAATATTTGCCTCTTTTTTTTGCCATTCCCTTATCAAAGATGTGCACTAACTACACTATCAAAATTTTCTTTCCACAAGTTCCTTGCCTTCCTGACCTCATCCAACTGATCATTTGGTATACTTGTGTGAGCATCCAATTTCTCAATCCATTCCGCCCAAGGAACTCTTGAAGGGTCCAAAAACTTCGAAACTTGAGGTACCATAACTGATTTGTAAAAATCATCAACATTCTTATTTATTTCGTCTGATTCAACTATTGTCTGCATTTCAGGTCTTGTTACATTTCCCGGCTTAGTTCTCATTGAGAAGCTGTTTCCTCTTAATAATAGAACTTCCGACGGTGCAAGGGGTAGAATAATTCGTGAGAACTTCGACAGTGACAGTGTTATAACATCTCTTGGAAGTAATTTGCGCTTTACTGCAATGGCTGTCCCCACCATTTTTCTTATCTAGTGAGAGCATAAAAGGAAATATCATGATTTTTCTTATTATATGCATCTTAATCATGTAGTAAAGTATAAATTTACGGACGATAAAACATGTATGGAAGATACCTGATGCAACATGAAAGACTCTCCCTCTATGTAGAGCTCTATGTAATTATGTTCCAGCGATCTTTCAAGCTTTCCACAAGAACATTTAAAAACTCTTCTGAAATGTGAAGCATTTAATCTGTCAGCTTCATCAGGTTCATATAACCATTTCGCACGAACAACCGAACTAGAGTTTTGATCATGCAGATTTCTATTGTTATTATCGGGGCAGATGACAGATTCGCAGGAATTAAAAGTTCCTGAAGAATTTTGGTTTTGACAGATTATGTTTTCTGTAAGTGCCATGTCAACTTTAGAATTTTCTTCCTCATCACTATCCTCATGTTCTGAATTGTAGGCTGTTAAACTCTCGCTGCGCTTTAAATGGGATGATCGACGAGGAATATGTCTTCTGTATTTGGACCTAGCTGTATAATTATGAAAAGGATGTCCACCCTATGCAAGGCAATTACATATAACATCATGATTCAAGAATGCTAATATGCTTCAGCTAGCTATGTCCAGAAACAGCAGGAAAAAAGAAAACATGAAGTATCAGAAAACCTGGACCTAATTAAGTCCTAATTCCAGTATTTACAAAGGCCATGTTTGAATAAACAACTTAATGAAGCGTGTAAAATACAAGTGTTTATCATATTGAAAAAATGAAGAGAAAAAAAAGTAGATTTGATTATCAGTAACCACACCTCGAATTCTTTGAGAATATCATTGAACTCGGACAGGTGGTAATCAATTTCATCGTTGCTAGAGTGGCTTTGAATACCAATAATTTCAGCAGGGAGTAGGTAGGAATATTTTCGCAAAATGCACTCCTTTCTGGGATCAAAGCTCCTGCTCCAAGACATAAAATCGAACAATTAGAGAACACGGTAAAAGATCATCAGAAACTCGGAAGTCAGTCGGTAAGAATATGCAAGACGGAAGTAAAAATATAAATAAACAAACGCTAAATGTTCATCAAAAATGAAAATTTTCAAGTCAAACACAGCATTTCTTAAGATAATAATATGAATACTGAACAAATGAACTTGGTTTCAAGCCTTACCTTTGGGAAGGCAAAACGCTTATAACTTTGATAGCACAAGGAAGATAAGAGTTAACATAATTTGCGAGGGAAAAGCCATAAGGGTCACCATTCCAAGCGTTTTCTGGGATTTCCATTTTAAATGATATCATTGTTGCAAGAGAGTGAACCTAATATACATACAGCGTTAAAATAGAATAGAATAAGTAATCATATTCTGGCTGCATATGTACCAAAAACAGAATACAAAGCAAGATAAACGAAAACAAAAGAATCATGAATTACTCCTTTGTCAGTTCGGCTACTTCTTGACCATCCGATTTTTTCTAAATCCCCTAAATTACTTTCGCGGATGCCACCAGCTTTGAATATCGCTGTTTCTAGTTCTTTCTCAACAGCTACAGTTTTGAAATCATAATACTTTAGCAACGGTCCATTCAAAATAACTAGCCATATTGAATCACATGTATTGCATTGTACCAGCTGAGCAGACATTATTTATAGTTTTTTAATTATATTAAATTTTGTATGCCTGGTTTACTTAATAAGAACATGGCTTAATTTCACATTGTTGAAAAAAAAGAATTACAAGTATGAATAGTCTCACATGGTTAGAAATGTGGAGACTTGAGTATTTATAAGTGGGAGAACTCACTCATCTATCACCTTAAAATTTTGAGTGAATATGTGGTGTGTCTCTCACAAAAGTGATAGGTGAGTGGATTCTTCCATTTATAAATGCATATGGTAAATAACATTTGTTGGGGGCAATTCAGGAGACATTTTCTGACTTTTTTGACATATGTTGTACAACCGTTCTACAAACATCGGACACCATTTGATTTTCCAAGCACAGCCACATCCTTTTCACTATTAATTAAATTGTTCTAAAATTTCTTATGAAGCACGGACACCTCTAGATGTATGCGTGCCGTGGTGTCCGATATGTGTCGGTGTTCTACACTTGTATGACACTCGTACGACACGTGTCGGCAAAATCAAACAAGTGTCAGAAAAGACAGACAAGTGTCCTCAAAAAATTGATTTTTTTTCTTTGCTTCAACACATTTTGAAACGGTGTTTGATGATACCTATATGACACTCATACAACACATGTCCGATAATTCACACAAGTTTTCTTTAAAAAAAATTGTGTTTTTCTTTTCCTCAACATACTTTATACATTTTCTAGACAAATCTCACGCACGGTTACAAATATTAAACATGTATCGAAGCAATGTTATCAATGAAGAATTTAAGACATTTATTTTGATTAGAATATTTTTTAACTCTTTTGATATTAGATGAATAAATAAAACTCAAATACTATAACATATATAGCAGTGCCGGTGTCTTAGATTTTTGATATATCAGTCAGAGTGTCCGTGTCAGTGTCGTGTCGCGGAATCCATATCAGAGTATGTGCTTCATAGAAAATTTCAGCTTGATTTTAAATCCTTGGGGACCAACTATGCAGGATTCATCCATCCATTCTAATGTGATGTCCATGGTTTTAAATTGCAGTTGTCGTCGCAGTTGTGGATTGTGGGCATTGTAATTGTAGTCATTGGGTTGTTGCGATGGGTATTGCTTCCGTTGCAGCGTAATTTTTTATAGAGGTGAGTTTGAAATACACCATCATTATGACACTTCATGTTAAGATTTAGTAAATTAAGTTTTGGACTCTAAATTTTGAGTTTTGACAAAAAATACTCAACAAGTTTGGAAGAAGTTGTGTGATGTGGTTCCGAATGTGTGATTTCAAATTACACCACAATTGTGGTTCGATGCAGTTGCGGAAGCTACCGCATGAGGATATTGCGGCCGCAATTTAAAACCATGGTGATGTCTTTCCAATTTTCCAGTTAATTTGATTCATCAATCACTTGCAGTGAAAGATTTTGAAGTTACTTACTACTGACCCCAGCTAGTGCATTTTAACAAACATCTTATACTCAAAAACCACAACTGAACTATTCTTGTTTTCTTTCATCTTAATCCCATACCAAACAGTAACACAGAAGAGAAATACCGGTATTTTCATCTAACAGAAAAGAAAGAAGCATACTTGAGCGTGCATTTTCATCTCGTTGCATTTGAAGACCTGAAAGAAGAGTTTAAAAAACGAGATGATGAATCTATACGAGAGCCTGTTTGAAAAAAAAAACAGCATAAAATGGGAATGGTTAGAAGAAAGTGACCTCGGTAATTGGTGCCGACATAGGCTATACGCATAACAACCTTTTTCTTACGAAATGGTTGCCATGAATGTGATTGGGAAGTAGGGGAAGATGAGCAGTAACGGAAATATTGGCAACTTGTATTCCGAAGAATGGATGTTGTATTTGTGTACGGAGTTTTTTTGAGCAAAGGAAGCAGTGAGAGTCGCAGAGATGAAGCAGCAGCCATCTCTTCAATCAACACTCACTTAGCAGCTTTTTTTTTTGGGTTCGTATAAAACTCACTCTTTTTTTTATAATGTTATATAAAAGGGTAGGGTCTTTAAATGGATAGTGCCATATATTTTATATTATTTCACAATTTTTAAATCTTATTATACTTTGAATTTTAAATAAATATAAAACTTGTTGGTATCAGAAATGTAAGATAGATCGGAGCGATTGGATTTCCGATGCAGTGCACTGAGTTTTCTAATATGAAAGTGTAGCATTGTATCTATAAACTAACATTTCAACGCTTAAATTAATGAAAAAAAATATACAATGGTGAATAATGGAGACGGATTTGAATTATCGTAAAATGGTGTGCTCCTCTCTTTATATAGCAAATGCAGTTATAATCACTTTGTATGTGTTGTACCCCAAAATTTACCCTCCCATTTCCTCAACATTTTCTCATCACAAGACCCTTGGAGCTCAAGAACAAGTTAGGGTTTGCTCTGCTCAAGACGTCTCCTTGCACTGTTGACCCAAATTAGGGTTTGAGTTTACACAAAGATGTTTTGACCTAAAATGCCAAAGATGACTTTCATGCTTCATGTTGGACTCACAAGTTTATCCATACCAAGTTTCAAGCCTTGATTCCAATCTTTGCCCAGTCAATTGAACAGTTGACCTAGAAATCAGCTGTATTAGGGAAAAAGTCAACTGTGGTCAATTGACAGTCAAACCTCATGATTTTTGACCCACATCAACATTATGAACTCATATGGACCATTTGATCAAATTTGGATCACAATTCCACAAGAAATTTGATCAAATCACCAAAAGGGCAAAATGGTCATTTTTAGGGTTTTGACTGCACAAAGGCAATTTTTTACTGTTTGACCTAGCCAATGGTAAACCAAGCTCACATATGGACTCAAGGACCCAATGGCATTGTCTTGACATGTTCAACAAGTTCAAAAGATCCCAAATGCACAAGATTGACAGATGAATTTTCCAGTCAACTGAGCAAAATTTGACTGTATACTGAAAAGTCAAACTTTGACTTTTTGGTCAAAATCAAGTGTCAAGATTCATTTTTCATCAAGACATGTCAAATTATGAAATTTGTTCATCAAGAAATCAAAAATCACAAATTAGGGTTTGAAATGAAGAAATTTCATAACTTAGAATTTTTCTAAGTTATGAAATTTCCTAATTTTTTCCTAACTTTGTCCCATTTTTTCATCAAGATATATTTGGATTCAAGCAAAACTCAAAACATGAAAGTTATAGTCCATTGCAAAATCTACAACTTTGATTCACAAAGTTTCCTCAAAAGAATCTTGTAACTCAAGTTATGATTTTTGGAACAAGGGTGCAAAACATTCTTAACTTAGAAATATTTTGACCTATTCTAGGCAGGATTTTTGCCTAACTTCATGGCCATTTTTCACATGCTTCCAATTGTAATTTCAACTTGCATTACAAAGATGGGTTGTAGTACACATTCCAAGCTTTCCAAATTGTCCAAGAACTTCTCAAACACCCTTGTGGTTAGGGAGAATCGAATTTTTCAATATGGGCAAAAGTCACTTTGTTCATGGCCATTTTCATGTTCATAACTTAGGCATTTTTGAACTCAGCTTGCACAACTAGATTACAGGCCTTTTATCTCATCCACACTCAATAATTTAATGCCAATCCTTTGTGTTCAAGCCTTATCTTGTGTGTTTAACCATTACATGCCAAATTAATCCATATATAGAAAAAGCATTTTATCCATTCTTGTAAAGAAGTGCTTTATGTCAAATACAAATCCAAGAAGCATGGGCCAAATCTTGAGAGCTAGCATTTTGTACACAAATCACACTGATCAAGAGTGATTTGGGCAGCATGTTTAAAGGGCCTGTGGTAGCCTATATTGAAACTTGACAAACTTTGCTTAAGGGAGAAGAAACTTTGCATATTGAAACACATCTCACATTGCTGCAAGAACTAACTCAAGCAAACCTTGTAAACACTTTCCACTTGATCCAACTGGCCTGAAACACGAGCCAACCACCTTCAATACCTCTCCAAACATCAAAACATCATTTTGCTGCACAAAACAGGGCATCCCTGCAGATTGAGTTGCACAACTCAGTTTGCTCGTACGTTTTGGCCAAAGCTTGTTCATACACACTCCCTACCATCCATTGAAGCTATCCCAAGCCCTAGCTACAGACTGTAACACCTCTAACCAAGTTCACCATTTTCATTTTTTCAGTTGTGCAGGTTGAGTTGCATAGCTCGTTTCAGCTAGTTTCAAGACACACCAAGCATTGGAGGAGCATCCCTGAACTTCAAGCAAGCTATACAAGTCCTTAAACTCCATTGAAGATACCTCCATTGATGTACACGACTCAAGCTGAAACAGGTAAAAACATGGACTTCTATCTCTCAATCTAGGAAGAGTTAGGCTTAGGTTTATGAATGAAACATGCTCTACTCATGGCCCTGAAGCTATCCATATCCTCACTTTTCATTTATATTGTGTGTGTTAAGAGAATTTGGAACCTGAACATTAGAAAAAACTTAGGTCAGAAATTGGGGATGAAGAAATTCTCCCTCGTTTCTTAGAGTTAAGTCAAGTTTTTTATATGTCTGGATTCGTCTCTTGATGCTCTACATTTTTGGTGTTATGAGTTTTGCTTGAAAGTCCAGGAATCAGGAGTTAGGAAACGCGCGTTTTTGGTTGTTCAAACAAGTCTGGAGGTTGAAGATGACTGGCTTGGGCTGGGCATGAGTCAGTCCTACTTTTTGCACCCCTTTTTTCAATTTGCACCCCCCTGGCCCATTGAATGATTTATTTGTCATTTTTGATTTTTTCTTTTTGACTTTGATTTTATATTTTTATCCAAGCATAAAAAAACATTAAAAATATTTTTCTCACTTTTTTTTGCATTTTATTTGATATTTATTTGTTTCATTTAGTTCTATATATAAATAAACACACACACACATATATATATATATATATATATATATATATATATATATATATATATATATATATATATATATATATATATATATATATATATATATATATATATATATATATATATATATATATATATATATATATATATATATATATATATATATATATATATATATATATATATATATATATATATATATATATATATATATATATATATATACTTTATTTAAAATACTAAAAATAATACAAATACATTTTTATTTTCTGATTTTATATTATTTTATCTTTTGAAAACATTTTATAAAAATTATACTTTTTTTTTTGTAAATATTAAATATTTTATTTTTGTACATATTTAATATATTTAGTAAATAATATAAATACTTATCTATCTTTTATTAAATATTTAGGATAAATATAAAAATAATACATTTTTTATTTTTATTAATATTTAACCTCAAAAATCACTTTTTTTACAATATACTTCCTTTTTATTTATTTTTTGTATATAATTAATGAATATTGTATATATTAAATAATAATTACTTTTTATTTAGCAAAATTAGGGTTTTGCCCTAAACCATAAAAATACCCAAAAAATTAACCTTTTTATTTTTTTATTTGTCACATGAAAAACACTTTTACATACATATAAAAAATCATTTTTTTGCATCTTGCACATTTATTTTATTTACTTAATTATTGTACAATTAATCTTTGTATATTCAATTTGGATGTAATAGTTTAGATTTAATTTTTCTTGCTAAATATCCCCATTTGAACATTTGTACCCCCCATCCCATAATTTGTGTTGTAATAATTTAGGATTTTATTTTTTCGCATTTAAAAGCTTTCTAAATATGCCATGATAGACTTAGGGTTTGTATGCAAAAATCAACCAAACAAATAGCTTGACCTAATTCAAAGATAACAAAGCATGAAAATGGACAACACCAATCACACTTGCACCCCTAGGGTTACTCCACTTGTTGCCTTCAATAATGGGCCATGTTGCATGTTGAGTTTCTTTGGCAAAACAAAACAATTCAAATGATCATAGTCCCTCGATGACGCTTTCGAAAGTTGCCTAAAAATGATCAAGTCCCTTAAAGGAAAAGTTGCCAAAGACACTTGGCACCATTGCAATCATGGTCTAAACGATGACCCGCGCCCGTCCCGTTAACATCCTAACACAAGATTGTCCACCAAATACAATGGTGGAACAAAATTGTTAAAAGGGTTAAAACATAGAGAAAACCTTTGAGTAAATTTAGGGGTAGACAAACTCTTAGTTACTTGATCAAACTTGCAAAAACAATCCTTGCCATTTTTCAAAACACACATCACAACACACTTTCAAAACAACTTTCAAAAACATTGAAAACTTTTCAAAAGATAAGTACACCTTTGTATACATTCAAACATGGATCATTACAAAGGTTGCCACAACAAATGGCCTCTTTTCAAAACATTTTCAAACCCACAAACAAAGCACCATTTCAAACAATTGAAAGCACCATTTCAAACAATTGAAAATGAAAGGCAAGTAATCTAAGAAAGTAACTAAGAGCCCATGGATAACCATGGATAGAAAGGGTGCTAATACCTTCCCTTTCTATAATCTACTCCCCGAACCCAAGAAAACATCTCAAAGGTTTTTGTTGTGCTTTTTAACCTTTCCTTAGGATAAAATAAAAAGTTGGTGCTGACTCTTGCTCAACCGAAACATTTGCGAAAACAAACGCAAAACCCAAGTCAGTTCTCCCACCGTACCACAGAACTGGCGACTCTGTTGGGGATTACTTTGAAAAGTGGAGTAACCTTAGGGCTTAGATCACCCTCTTGCATGACTAATTGTTTGCTTTGATTGCTTTATATCTTGGTTCTCTTGTTTGGGATTGAAATCCTACACCCGGATTTGGGGAAACATTCATAGATAGCAATATGTTGTGGAAACTGTGCGGGGTATACCGACACGGTTGAAGCAATAACTATATTAGTGCGACATATTTGTGAGTACCGGTAACCCTTGAGTT